CCAACAGTGTGCAAGGGTTCCCTTTTCTCCACATTCTTGCCAACATTTGTTATTTGTGGTCTTTTTGATGATGGCCATTTTGACAGGTGTGAGGTGATGTCTCATTGTGGGTTTGATTTGCATTTCCCTAATGATTAGTGATGCTGAGCATCTTTTCATGCGCTTGTTGATCATCAGTGTGTTTCCTTTGGAAAAATGTCTATTCAGGTCTTCTGGCCACTTTCTAATCAGATTGTTTATTTTTTTGATACTGAATTGTATGAGATGTAGATACATTTTGGACATTAATCCCTTATCAATCACATCATTTGCAAATATTTTCTTGCACTCAGTAGGTTATCTTTTTGTTTTGTTGATGGTTTCCTTGCTGTGCAAAAGCTTTTGTGTTTAATTAGGTTTGTTAGTCTTGCTTTTGTTTCCTCTGCTTTAGAAGACAGAGCTTCAAAAATATTGCTATGACTTATTTCAAAGAGTGTTCTGCCTATGTTTTCTTTTAGGATTTTTATAGTTTCTGAGCTTATATTTAGGTCTTTAATCCATGTTGAGTTTATTTTTATATATGGTATGAGAAAATGTTCTGATTTCATTCTTTTACATGTAGTTGTCCAGTTTTCCTACTGCCACTTATTAAAGAGATTTTTTTTTCCCTATTATATATTCTTGCCTCCTTTGTCATAGATAAATTGATCATAAGTGTGTGGGCTTATTTCTGAGCTCTCTATTCTGTTCCACTGACTTCTGCGCCTGTTTTTGTGCCAGTATCATATTGTTTCAGTTACGATAGCTTGGTAGTATAGTCTGAAATCAGGAAATGTGATACCTCCAGCTCCATTCTTTTTTCTTGAGATTACTTTGGCTATCAGTAATTACTTTAAATGTAAATTGATTAAAGTCCCCAAAAGAAAGAGATGAACATAATGGATAAAAACACATGGCCCAACTATATACTGTTTATAAGAGAATCATTTTTGATCCAAAGACAAATAGATTGATAAAGAATGGAAAAAGATGTTCAAAGCAAATAGTAACCAAAAGAGAGCAGGTGTGGCTATACTTATATTAGACAAAATAGATTTCTAATCAAAAAAGTTCACGAGAGAAAAAGAAGAACATTATATATTAATAAAAGGCTTAATACAGCAAGAAGATGTAACAGTTATAAATATTTAGGCACCTAATAACAGACCATCAAAATAGATAAAGCAAAACTGATAAAACCGAAGTGAGAAATAGATAGCTATATAATATTAATTGGAGACCTCAATACACTGCTCTCAATAATGGTTACAACAACCAGAGAGAAGTAAGGAAATAGAGGATTTAACACAGTAAACCAAGTAAATCTAACAGACATGTACAGAACACTCTACTCAACAACATACATATTCTTCTCAAATGCACAAGGGACATTTTCCAAAATAGACCATATAATAGATCACACATTAGGTCTCAAGAGATTTAAAAAGATAGATTATCATACAAATATCTTCTTTAAGTACAATGAAATTAGTAATCAGTAATAGAAATAAAACCGGAGAAGTGATAGATTTGTGGAAATTAACATATTTTTAATCACCTAATACATCAAAAAAGAAATCATAAGGAAAATTAGAAAACACTTAGAGATGAGTGAAAACAAACAAACAAAAAAATACCAAAACTTACGGGATGCAGCGAAAGTAGCGCAAAGGGGGAAATTTATAATTATGAACATTTACATTGACAAAGAAGAAATTGCATGGCGACAAATGGTAACTAGACTTATCACAGTGATCTTTCTGTAATGTATAAACATATCAAATCACTATGTTGTACCCTTGAAACTAATATAATATTGTAAGTCAATTATACCTCAACTAAAAAGAAAACCCTAAACTCAAAGCTAGCAGAAGGAAAGAAATAATAAAGATTAGAGCAGAGATAAATGAAATGGAGAATAGAAAAACAGTAAAGAAAAATCAATGAAACCAAAAGTTGATTCTTCAAAGATCAACAAAATTGACAAGCCTTTAGCTAGATGGACTAAGAAAAAAACACAAAAGACTGAAATTACTAAAATTAGAAATGACAGTGGGGACATTACTATCGATTCCACAGAAGTAAAAAGTATTATAAGAGAATACTATGAACAAATTGAATAACCTACATGAAATGTACAAATTCCTAGTAACACAAAATCTACCAAGACTAAGTCATGAAGAAGTAGAAAATCTAAATAGACCTGTAACTAATCAGACGATTGAATCAGTAATCAAAAATCTCCTGACAAAGAAAGATGCTGGAACTGAGGGCATCACTACTGAATTCTGCCAAATGTTTAAAGAATAACTAATATCAATCTTACTCAAACTTTTCCAAAAAATTGAAGAGGGAACAACTCCTAATGCATTCTATAAGACCAGCATCACCCTGATATCAAAGCCAGATACTACAATAAAACTATAGACCAAAACCCCTTATAAATACTGATGCAAAAACCCTTAACAAAATACTAGAAAAATGAATTCAGTAGCATATTAAAAGAGTATATATCATGACCAAGTGGTATTTATTCCTGGAATGCAGGGATGGTTCAACATGAAAAATCTTCAATGTAATATGCCACACTAACAGAGTGAAGGAAAAAAAAAAACCCATCATCATCTCAACTGATGCATAAAATGCATTTGACAAAACTAACACCCCTTCACAATAGAAACACCTAACAAACCAGGAATACAAGGAAACTACTTCAGTATAATAAAAGCCACATATGAAAATCCTACAGTGAATAACATACTCAATGGTGAAAGATTGAAGACTTTTCCTCTAACAAGAATAAGGCAAGAATGCCCACTTTTGCTGTTTCTATTCAATATAGTACTGGGAGCCAGAGCAATTAAGCAAGAAAAAGAAATAAAAGCATTGAAATTGGAAAGGAAGAAGTAAAATTATCTTTGTTTATCTTATATGTAGAAAATCCTAGAAACTCAACAAACACACAAAAAAACTGTCAGCCCCACAGACAAGGCTTTCATCCTCAGTAAGTGTCAGCCTCAGCCTAGCCATCTGGGACTGTTCTATATTAAATTGCTGCCATGATTTTACATCGAGTTACCTCCAATTTGTGGAACATATTCTCTACTAATATTTTTGAAACCAATTTCTACTTCATACAGATGCTTTTCCAACAGCAATTAAAGTTTTTCTTACACACACACACACAAAAAAAAACTGTAAGAATTAATAAATGAATTCAACAAAGTAGCAGGATACAAAGTCAACACACAAAAATTACATTCCTGTACAACAATGAACAATCTGAAAACAAAATTAAGAAAATAATTCCATGTACAATAGCATCAAAAAGAATAAAATACTTAGGAATTAACTTACCCAAGGAGGTGAAAGAGTTGTACAATGAAAACTTCAAAACAGCAATGAAAGAAATCAAGACATAAATAAATGCAGCACATCTCATGTTCATGGACTGAAATAATATTTTAAGGGGTCAGTATTACCCAAAGTAATTCACAATTCAATTCCTATCACAATCCCAGTGCCAATTTTTGCAGAGATGGAAAAACTCATCCTGAAATTCAGATGGAATCTCAAGGGACGCTTTGGAGGTTACTTCTTGATAAACTCATAATAAATTGAAAATATCATAAATAAAAAATGCACTTAACACACCTAACCTACTGAACATCATAACTTACAGTACACTGCAGAGTATATGCTGTTCAGCCTCCTCATTGTGTGGCTGACTGGGAGCTGAGGCTACCTACCACTGCCCAGCATCATGAGTATCTTACCTCATGTCACTAGCCTGGGAAAAGATCAAAATTCAAAGTAGTTTCTGCTCAATGCATATTGCTTTCACACCACCGTAAAGTTGAAAAATCCCTAGTGGGACTATCATAAGTAGAAACTCTCTATACACAGTTGGGAAAAGTCTATAAGGAGATGCACCAAATTGTTAAGAGTGGTTTTCCCTGGGTAGTGGGACCATGAGTGATATTTATTTCTTGCTGACCTATATTTTCTAAAACAAACATGTATTAATTAAGAAAAATCAGTGTAAGTTTAAAAAAGTCAACTAAGAAAAAAAAATCTGTAACCTCAGGTTAATATGCTGAAAACTTACAGGAGAGGGATGAAGAAAGAAGTGTTTACAGTTTAGTCTAATTCAAAGTTAGATTTATTACATACCTAGCTTCCCCAAATCACTCAGTATGAGTATGCAATATATTGGTGGACAGATACCAGTTTCTGGCGTTTTACTTTAACTGTAATTAAAACTTTCAAAAGGTAGCTCTTTTCCCTTTAAAAAAAATGGTTGTTTTATTTCTTCCCAACTTGATTTAAAACATTAACCCAAAATTCAATGCCTTAAAATACAGACACTCTCATTAAAATTCGTACAGCATACCAACGGCAAGAATACTGCTATTCTTCATTAAGAGTAATCACTCCACTGAAGAGTAAACAACTATTCATGGAAGGAAAATCAAAATCCCAACTAATGAGCACCGTTCTGAAATCAAGGGTCATATGATTAAAATTCTGAAAACTGCCGTCAGAATTACGCAAAGGAGACCGAGGACTGATTTTTATTGATTATCAGTAACAGAAACATTCAAAATAGCATACAAAACACCAAACTAAAAATAGAGTCAAAACCCAGAGCCAGCGCAATTCCTTCTGAAATCTATCTGCCCTCTACCCCAGTCCCTTCCTCGGCTCCTGGCGGGTCCCTGCCGCCACTTCTCCCAGCTGAGGCAGGGCAGCGGTCCTCCACCAGAAGCCCTCGCCGCACGCCCGAGAACTCAGTTCTCTCAGGTGACCAAGCACACGGCTCAGCCAGCACTCGGGCTCCTCGTCCCTTCCCGCGCGGCCCAGCCCCTCCCCTCCTCGTCCCGCCTCCCCCATCCCCTCCCCGCCTTGCCCCACGGGATCCGGCCTTACCCCATCGCCCCGCCCCGGCCCGCCCCGTTCCCCGCGCGCTCGCCTGCGTTCTACGGGCTTCTCTCACCCTCCGCCCGAGTGTGACGAGCCGGAGCCGGGAGGGGTCTATTGCGCAAGCCCAGGGCGCCGGGTTGGGGTTTGAGGAGAGGCCTTGGCTGCGCGCCGGAGACCATGAGGCGCGACGTTCGGCGGGCTCCTTCCCGGAAGCGGAAGCTCGGGGGGCGGGCCAAGGGCGGCCGGGAGTCCGCGGCGGTTAATTCCTTTTACCGTGCGGCTTTGCTTCACTCCGTCTGGACTTTCCTGAAGCTGCGGGAGATGGTTAGGTCCGGATCTCGACCGGGCCAGGTGAGGTCTGCGGACCTGAGGCGTCCACTGTAGGGGTGGAAGAGGGATTCTTGGGCCGGGAGAAGTGCACAACCTCCTTTGAAAAAATAAAAACAAGGACAGTGCTGCTGCATCAAAAATGCTGGGAGAACAGGCGGGGCGGGGGTACCTAGGACCTTAACATCGTAGCCCAGCCGTCCTGCCCACAGACATATATTCTGTGTTAATCGTTATAGTCGTCCAGAGCGCTGGTTTTGGTGTGGGGCCCGGGTTTGAGTGCAGCCTCCACCGCTGGTTCGGGTGACTTAACGTCTCTCCGAGCCTCAGGACGCTGTTGCATCAAATCCAGGATCTAGGCTCTTCCAACAAGTGCCGCTATTAGCTGATCCTCCGTCACAGTTGTTGGTATTTTACTACTAGTTTAAAAAAAAAGTCTCCCAATTAGTGTCCCTGCATTTAGCCTTACCCCTCTCAAATGCACGTTCCTCGTCGATTCTCTTTTCGGCTTAAAATTCAACTCTGGAAAACTTTTTTCCCATGTAAAATCTCAGTACTTTGGCCTGTCAACACAGCCATTTCTTGATCTGGCCTGTGCATTCCTTGCCAGCCCCCACCCTCGTTCCAGTAATACGCAGCACGCTTCACCTGTTTGTTTTATCGTGCCGTGGATCCCAGCGTTCTCCCAGACTTCCATGCCTGTGCACTTTGTTCTGCCTAGAACGCCCTTCTCTCTGATATCTCCACTGGCCGTCTGTGCCTCAACTCGAGGACCACTTCTAGAAACTTTGTCTAGCACTCTCACATTTCCATTCTTTGGGTGCCCCTCAGCGCTTCTTTTGTGTGCTTATTATTATTAAACCACTGTTTAGGCTAAAGTCGTTGCTAATCTTCCTAGCTACTACAGTTTGAATTTTCAGGAAATCTATCGGTAGGAGTCAATCAATAGGAAGCAACTGCTCCTTACACAGACCCTCTACTTAGAGTGATCGTTACTCAAGTATATCCACACCACCACCACCCTTTTTTTCTCCTTTATTTATCAACTCACTTTTAATGCTGCTTCCCCATTAATGTGAATCTTACACTTTTTTTCCAAGACCCAGCGCAAGACTTTCTTCATGAGTACTTCCAGACCAGCCCCACCCACCCTTATAGATTTTTCTTTTATACTGAGTGAACTCAGAATATGTGCAGTCAGCAAGGAAAAAACATGGTTTTTGTACAGATTCAAATTACAGTTCTGTCACTACCATCATAGTGATAGTAAGCAAAATACTCTAATTCTTGAGCCTCCTTTCCCTTACCTATAAAATGTTGCCGCAAAGAATTGAGGAGATTGAATGAAAGAACCTGGTAAAACATGTATTTCAAACTTGGCATAAAATGTGCAAGTTTAGTCTCCTGAAAAATACTTAGTTTGTTACCATCTTAATGGTAATAATAGCAGCTAACATTTAGGTAGCAGTTATGTGACAGTACTACTTAAGTGCTTTTATGTATTACATATAATTTCTAATTTAGTTTTCACAATAACCTTAGGAAGTAGATACTATTATCCTCATTAGATGAGGAAATTGAGGGATGGAGAGTTCAGATAACTCTCCTACAGTTACACAACTGGTTAGCAGTGGAGACAGGATTCAGACCCAAATAGCTGGTGTCAGAGTCCATTCTTTTAAACATTATTCTTAGTTACATGTAAGACTGAACAAGCCACCTTTCTGAAATTTAGGGTCCTCACAGAAATAATAGCAACTTGCAGATGTGGATTAAGTGGAAACAAAAGCTTTAGTATGCTCTAAGTTATTCCATGTATGTAATTTTATCTTGCACTTGTTGGTGGAAGATCCGACTCCTAAGAAATACGGTTTTCTCAAACAGCAAAGTAAAAAGTTTAATGATGATACCTAGTGGAAGTAAATGTACGATAAAGTAAAATGATTCCTTCATGCATTGCCATTTGGGGCACTTCTTTTGGAAAGCAGTTTTGCATTAAACTACTAATAACCTTTTACCAAATAATTAAGCTTTTAATCCTGAATATGAAAGGCTATTTTCAATATATGAAAAGGTTTATTTCAGGTTTGTTTTTTAATTGTGAAAAATATGAAGCAAGCCAAGAACACATTGTATTACTTCCACTCAAGGAAATACTGTACAACCATGTAAAAAATTTGAAGACTATGTTAATATGGAAAAATATTTGAAAGTAAAAACACAAGATTCAAAATTGCAACTATGTAGCCATGATGACTAAGTAAATTATCCATATGAAGACCGAATAGCACAGAGCACACCTCATGCCTAGATCTTGGTTTCTAAATGCTGTTGTCCACTAAAAAGAACCACGACTGCTCAGAGAAATGGTTAACTCCAGGGCTGAGGCAGGGAAATTGTAAAGTGGGACTGGATACATCAAAATACAAAATTTCTGCACAGCTAAGAAACAGTTAATGGAGTGAAAAGGCAACTTATGGAATGGGAAAAAAGTATTTGTAAGCCATATATCTAAAGTGTTCATAACCAAAATATATAAGGAACTCCCAAAACTCAGTATCAGAAAACCAAATAACCTGATTGAAAAATGGGCAAAGGACTTGAACAGACATTTCTTTAAGACATACAAATGGCCAGCAGATATATGAAAAGATGCTCAACATCACTAATCATTAGGGAAATGCAAATCAAAACCACGATGAGATATCACTTCACTCCTGTTAGGATGGTTATTATAAAAAAAAAAAAACCAAGTGTTGGAGAGGATGTAGAAAATTTGAACCTTTGTACATTGTTAATGGGAATGTAAAAGAGTGCAGCCACTATTAAAAAGAAGTTTCCTCAAAAATTAAAAATAGAACTACCATATGATCCAGCAATCCCACTTTGGATATTTATCCAAAAGAATTAAAAACAGGATCTTGAAGAGATACTTGCACTCTCATGTTCATTACAGTATTATTCACAACATTCAAGGTGTAACAACCTAAATGTCCCTTGATAGACTAGTGGTTACACAATGGAATATTATTCAGCCTCTTAGGTATCTAAAATAAAGTCATAGAAGCAGAGTAGATTGGTAGTTGCCAGGAGCTGGAGGGAATGGGAAATGGAGAGTTGCTATTCAATGGGTGTAAAGTTTTAGTTAACGTAAGAGTAAGTTCTAGAGATCTGTTGAACAACTTCATGCCTATCGTTAACACTGTATTGTACACTTAAAAAAATTTGTTAAGAGGGTAGATGTCATGTTAAATATTCTAACAATGAAAAAAAAAAACAAAGCCCAGAGCACCTTATTTTAGAAAGTAAGGAATAGCTAAAAAATAATGGGGACATATGTTAAGGTTTGAAGAGACTCCTACTGATAGAATCTGGGACAATTTGAACATCAAAATAAATAATGATAATAATGCATCATAACCCATTAAATAAAATAGAAATCAATGAGACCATAGTAACAAATGAAAAAGTACTTCACAAATGTTGAATGCCAGCTAATAAATGTGGAAGGAATGATGTAAGTTAGAAAAATAACCACTTGACACATGATTAAGTCAAGAATCCTCAGTGGATGTCAAAACTACTGGATGAAAGTTTGATTAATATGATGTCTGCATAATCTCAGAGTATCTCCATCATATTCCAAGTTATCTTAAGGAGAAGTAAAACTCTTATCAACCCAATTTAAAAACTGTGTTCTCAGTAACATTCTTAGGAGAGTATATATATGCAAGCAAATAATAGAATATTATATAACTCCAGGAAGTTTAATAGTTACAACCTAAAGCTCTCTTGGGATGAAATGTGTAAACATGTCCAAAAAAATCATAAATGTAATTGCCAACAATGACAATACCTGAAGGGTAAAACGAGGGAGTGAGTACGGAATTTAACCATCTTTTAAAAATTATATTTTGAATAGAAATATTTATCAGATATAAAGTTATTAAGATACGAAAAGGTAACCATGGAAAGTCCCTTATTGCTCTGTCTCCCAGATACTCAGTTTCCCTCCCGAGAGGCAAATGCAATTAGTTGTTTCTCGTGTAACTCCCAAGATATTGGATACATATAGAAGCAAATACATTTTTTTTCTGTGTTCTATACAGAAAGTAGCCCACTTAAATTACCTTTAAAGTTAAAAATTAAAAAAACATGACTGATAAATATGAGTTTAAAAATAAAGATTGAGAGGATAAGATGTAGATAAAGAGGAATGATAGAGTTTTCATGCACTAGTCTTGTCAGATATTCTAAAGAATGTGGATAAATAGAATCCGAGTTAAGAATTCTGTTCTATATCTGGAATTAACTTGCATGTTTTGAAGAATTGATAAATGTATTACATGTTCAGGGACTGATTATAGTCCAAACTTAGTATAGTAGGGACATCTGGTTAAAATAATATCTCAACTTCATTTTCAGCTTAAATAGACTTATGGAACAAATGCTTGTGTTGCTTGACATTTTATATAGAACAAATTATAAGAGTTCAATTGTAATCATGGATTTTATTAAAAATTGATAACATGATATATACATAAAATGGAATATTATTCAACCTTAACAAGGAAGAAAACTTTGCACATGCTGCACATGGATGAACCTTGAAGATACTATGCTAAGCAGAATAAGCCAGTCACAAAAGGACAAATAATGTATGATTCCATTTATATGAGCTTCCTTGAGTAGTCAAATTAATAGAGACAAAGTAAAGGGTGGTTATCAAGGACTCAGAGAAGTAGGGGATGAGAGGTTAATGATTAATGGGTACTGAATTTCAGTTTGTAAGATGAATAAGTTCTAGAGATGGATGGTAATGATGGTTGTACAACAACGTGAATGTATTTGATACCATAGAACTATATACTTTAAAGTGGCTGATACATTTTCTGTTACGTATGTTTTACTACAATAAAGAAAGGAAGCAATGACATTTCAGGTTTTGTTAAAACAGGATACTGAGAATATAATAGAAAAATGTTTGTTTACCTACTATAATGTAATGCATTATGTCATAGGTATTATCGTCAGGAAAGCACCCTGGACCTGCTAAGTTAACAAGTGGGAAGAAAGGGTAAGTACTTAAGGAAGTCTTCAACTTCAGGAAATGTCAAGAGATTTTCAGGTCTTTGGGCTGGACTAAATTTTGCCTATCCCAGAAAACTAGATGAGTCTCTACCTTCACAAAACTCTGGGGAGGAACCTTGCCTATCTACCCATGTCGATCATTTTAGCGTTTAATAGGCTTTATAATCTTTATAAAGTCCTGCGTAAATCTTTTACATAGTTGGACAAGCTTTCTTATCCAACCTTTGCTGGAAAGAAAATGACTATAATGTATTTTGAGAAAAAAAACTTTTTGTATTCCTTGTAAAAATATTAACAAACTTGTTTTCTAGGACCCATGTAAGAAAGATATCCCGTTTTAATGCAGATTCTGGCTGTCCCACTCATTCCGAGTCAGAAAGTCAGGTAAGATTAAGCTGAACAGATACAATATATACAATTTTAGTTAGTTTCAGGTAAAAGCTAAGAAGTGGGAATAAAAATTCAAAGGTAAAGTATTAATTGCCGTTACGAAGAATGAAGGCTTTTTGCTTTAATACATGTTTTCTACCAATAATAAGTTATTTCTAAATAAGGAAATTTTAAAATTACAGAATTTTGTTTCCTACATTAAAATTTTATGTACAAATTTTTCAATGACTTTCTCCTTACAGAATGAAACTGTACAGGGGCTTGACGGTTGTGCCTCTCTTCTGCGGGACATTTTAAGAAATGAAGATTCAGGTTTTATTTTTTAAATGTGTATTTGCTGATCACCTTTTCTCAATTAAGTAGTTCTCTTAATGTTAATGAATTTTTGTCTTAATTATTAATAGGTTCAGAAATAGCATATTTAGAAAATAGATATAACCCCAAACCTTTGGAAAGCAAAAGATACGGATCTAAGAAGAAAGGACATGAAAAGCATGCTTTTCCTTCAGTAATCCGCAAAGAAATTTGTAAGTATTTTTTCTCCTATTTACTTAAACATAATACTTATTTGGGAGGGGGGGAGTTTGATAAATTATTGAGATTATGCAGTTGGTCTTTCATGGTAGTAACATTGGTTATTCAGGTGTGTGTGTGCTAGTACTTTTTTTCTCCCCCTCTATTTAGCTTCTAATCACTGTTTACTATCACTTTCCCAAGAAAAAAAGTAGGGAAAAAAGTGACTAGGTTTTATGGGAGAAGAGGTTCAAACTCAGAATAACATTTGGGAAGTGTGTAAGGTTATCTTTGTTCTCCCTGCCCCTTGTTTCCGTAGATACTTGCAAATTGGTTGGGTTTCATGTGTATACTTATTATTTAAAAAATACTCTGTGTATATGCATATATTCTCAGTAGCTCAACATTTTGAGCTGCACAGTTAGAAGACATGGTACCTAGGAAGGGAAAATTCCAAGTTAGGTAGCTATATAAGGAAAGAAAGCCTGCCACCGATTGACAGTGAATAGCCAAGGATATTTTACACGCTCACAGTTAACTTCCTGACTTAATTAAATGTAATAATGCAGTTTAGGATAAGCAAGTTTTGATCACGTTGTTCCATAGAGGCCTATAGAACAAGAAAGCCCTAAATGGAGATGAAAATGTCCACAATGGCAATTCAGATGAAACCAGCTAGAATGGAACCAGCTAGTTCCACAGTTGATGTGGGCCAAAAGTGTTAGCATAGCAGTACCTGCTTAGATTCAGCTTAGGGAAAGGGTGAGGTCTAGAAAATCATCTATAGCAATTGCCCTAGACACTAAGAGCTCAGGATCCAGGCAAAGAGGCTGAGAAAATGAGGGCAGAGCATTCAGAGGAGTAGAGGTTGGTGTTGCTGATGGTCCTGCATCAGAGAAGTAAGGCAGAGAAAACAGTTTACTAACCTATCTTGGAGGCCAGTCACATTTAGCCTCACATTGTCTTTATTTGCACTGCTTAAGATGATAGTCACTAGCCACAAGTGGCCAATCAGACACTCCAAGAGTGGCTAGTACAACCAAGGTGCTGAATTGTAAATGTTATTTAGTTTTAATTAATTTAAATTTAACTTTGAAAACTGACACTTGATCTAGTTATTAGAAAACTTTTAAATATGTTGGGAATAACTTGAGTAAATGAATCTACTTTTTCAACTGTACATTTTATTAAATGTAAATACAGATCAAGGATTTCTGATGAAAATTTACCATCCAGATTGAAATATGCTTTATAGTAAAATACACAGTATGCATAGAAGATTTAATGCAAAAAATAAAATATCTCAATTTTTAATGTTAATTACATATTGAAATGTTAAGATTTTGGCTATATTGATTTGAATAGAACATAAAAATTAATTTTACCTATTTTTTACTCTTTTAATATAGCTACTGGAAAATTTTAAATTGCATGTATGGTTTACATTATATTTCTATTGGACAACATTGGTCTAAACCAGGGGTCAGCATACTACTGCCAGTTTTGTTTTGTAAATAATATTTATTTATTTTGCAAATAAAGTTTCGTCAGAACACAGTCATGTTAATTCGTTTATATATTTTCTATGGTTGCTCCTGTGCTGCAGTGATAAAGGTGAGTAGTTGTGACAACGACCATCTGGCCTGCTAAGTGAAAAATGTTTATTGCCTAGCCTTTTAAGAAAAAATGTGCTAATCCCAGGTCTAACTCTTAAACTAGAGGCCTATTTATTAGGGCCCAGTGGACAAAGAAAGGAGTGGTAGCACCAACTGCCTGTTCCTGCTTTTTTCTTCAAGGCAGGTTATTTTTTGTCCAGGGCACCGTCCTCAAGGAACTCTCATTTGGAACGTACATTGCTGACAGTGGTGCCATGGTAGCAACTCATTGGATCCTAGCTTAACTGTTAGCAGCGTTCCAACACAAAATAGCTGGCAACACTCAAATTAAGATAATTCAAAGAGGGTTTATTTACAAAGAAACTCATTGCAAAAGTGTGACTAGGGTATAGGGAAACCACAAGTGACTGTGCTAGTCCAGTGCTGGCAGCAGCAACAAAGCTGTTACTCTCCCTAGATCTTAAGGGATGAGGTGGGGAAGGGGTTACTGGGACTCAGAGATACTGTTGTGTAGAGTAGGCTGCCTTGAGAAGAGCAGTGAGCTTTAAGGGACAAAGCCAGGCCAAGGTGGCCTTGTTAGAGAGGTAGTTGGGAACAAATACTCTGAATTTATGCTTCTTCCTTTCCTTGATAATGCCAGGACTCCCATTGGATTGGGCCCAGCTGGAACCTTGTTGATGTGTATCAGGTCTGGGGTTTGATTTTTGTTCTTACAAGCTAATAAGTCAGCCTTACTATGTCATGCATGTTTACAGGAACCACAAGACTCCTGGGGTCAGAGACAAAGGACCTTATCACTCATAACACAGCAAGCAGCATGTATATTAGCATATTTGTGTTAGTTATCCCTCACTACTAGTTCCCACTGGGATGATGGAATAGATCCAAGTGGATGCTGCACATGCTACAAGTTTAAGTTTCAGCTGAGGAACACTGAGCTTGAGGAATCTATCGTTTTGGTAGTAAGCAGTAAACAAGCTTATACTTTCCTCAGGGGGAAGCATTACCTTATTCCTCAGGGCTGCTCGCTACAAACACAACCCTGAGAAACGGCTCAGGTCAAGAGCTTAGGTCAAGTCCTTACTTCCTTGGTAGACCCAGCAAGACGTGTAGGAGCAGAAGAGACCCTGCTTGGAATGTCTCTTAACAATGTAATCCATACAGATCAGCATCTGTGAGACAGCAGAGCAGAAAAGAATGGGTAGAGGATGGGTTTGGAGGAGCACATTAGAAAGATCTGGCCTTCTGTCCCTAGCATTAAATTCTTATCTGCATTAGAGTCAGATGAGTAGTTCTGGCCAGTGATCAGGATACAACATTCTTGTTATCCTTTCCCCTTTGTTTTCATCATCAGAAGGAAGGACCTGCTTCTCATAGGACAATCTCTTTTAGAGCTGCAGTATTAGAAATTGATTCTCATTGACTTACTCACTTCTAAGATTGACTCATTGGAAGCAGAAGCCTTTTTCCCTCTGGTTAAATTACTTATCTGTTTTAGTTTAGCAAACTCTGTAGCACCGTCTAAAAAGGATCATCTTTTTTTTTCCTTCTCTGTAGTTGGCAGCTGTTAACAAGTACAAGGTTTTGCTCTGTTATCACAGTGCTCAACACACACGCAAACCACACTAAGTGTTTGCTTTCTTTTCTGTCTCTCCACAAGTGGGATAATCATAAAGAGAATGGTAAGGGGTCTGTTACAGCAGGTTAACTAGTATCTGTGTGTCATTTTAATTTTAAGATACATTATCTTACTCTTTTGTGGTAAGTGTCATCTGGGGCCTGAGCTCCTTCTATACTTTCTGTCTGGGGCCTCCCTGATCAATGAGTGTCTGTGGAGTCATGCCCACCCACCCTGATGCATACGGGAGGAAGGAAGCAGAAAGGCAGTTCCAGAAGTGTGTTGAGAGCTTACCTGACAGTGCTCCTGATGTTTGAAGAAAACATTTTTTTAATAAGCAGCTTTTTACATTTTGATAACTGTTGAATGCTGTGGGCACATGACCCTACTTTCAGTATCATATGTATATTTCTGCCCTCACCTTGGGGAAATAAACCTCTACAGGCAGAATATTTTGAACACTGATTGCTCCCATCAAGGCCAGGTGTTCTTTTACATATTTCAAATTATGATGGGCATCCAGCAGCTCTTATCTGCAGTGGATGTTCTATATTTGGGTGGCAGGAATTATCTTACCTGTCAGACAGTGCTTGTATATCCAAACAAAAGTGCTGTACAGCAGCTACAATTCCAGGACAGAAAAAGTTTTATGAACTGAATAAACGAGTGTATCCCTTTCATGAATTCTAGTTACCAACTGACACCAATTAGACATTGCCCTCCTAATCTGTTAGGTAAAATGTTTATGTAGGGTGCTTTGGTATAGTAAACAAGAGCAAGTAAACATACTTTCTTTGTATTTGTATAATAACAGGCTTATTTTGGTGGTGGTGGTGGGTTTTTTTAATTTTAAAATTGCATATCCATTTTTGTCTTGGATAATTTGCTTTATAATTTTGTCTCTTAAATATAAATATACAACATTCTCAGTAGAGTTTCACATAGATTGAGCTAATTAAGGAGCAAAGTAAGTCATGTTAATTATAAAGCTCTGATTTTTAAGAAATGTTTGAATTTTATTATATTATGTTAGGTGATGACATCTGCTGGCAAAAGCATAATATTGTAGTTCAGCTTTATCAGAGATTGTGAAAACCACCCCTTGAGAAGAAGGTGAATAAAAAAAAAAAGGTGAATGAGAGCCAATGTGAGTGTAAAATCTGAGAATTCCTCAAACCAGGCAATTCTTATCTTATGGGACCAAAGGAAATTGAAGAGCAGAAGAGAGACCCAGGAGTCAGGAGGAAAGGAAGAGCAGTGTGCTGGGCGGCCATGGGCTGCCTGTGATCTCACCCTTCATCATTTTAGATTTCAAAGTTAAAATATTTTAGAGGATACTTTTCCATTAGATTTATTATAAAATTGTATTTCCAATAAGAAATAATTTGTTAATAGAATGTTTATTAACCAATTTGTTGTAGCTTGTCTGTTCAGATAGTGAAGAGTAACTGTTAAATGTTTTTGGTTTTAATCACCTCAGAGAGGACATGCTTAGAGGTATATTATTGGTATCAGAGAGGAAGATTTGTGAATATGAAATATTTACTTGTCTGTATTGACCTTGCAGTCATTTAGTAATAGATATAACACTTAGTGAGTTCTTACTATGTGTTGGATATTGATACTTTACATGTGCTATCTCACTTTTCACAACAGTCTTATGAAATAGATAATATTATTATTATCATTTTTCTAACGAGGAGGAGGAGGCCAAGAGAGGTTAAGTAATTTGCCAGAAGTTAACTCAGCTAGTAACTGCTAGAGCTCATATTGAGGCCGCGGAAGTATGTTCACAACAATAAGGTTATCTCAAAAGGAAGCATAGCCCAAGTCAAAATGGGAGGATCCAATAACTCCAACCATTTTCGTAGTCAATTGTTAATTTAGTAGTCGTTTTCTTTAAATTATTTTTCTATCTTCATTGGTTATAGTATTTCATCTGCCTTTAACTTTTTGCCTTTACTTATAAGTTTTATGCTTTTAGCAATGTTTTTCCTTCAACAAAATGTATATGTGTTTGGGGAATTCAATACCATTTAAAAAAATTTAACTGTTTTCACTTTTTAAATAATTAAGGTGTAACTTTCATAAAGCAAGTGCATAAATCTCAGTAAATTTTTACACATGTCTACACCCATATGTAGCCTTGGAGACTTTAAATGCCACTACCCAGATGAAAATACAAAACATTTTCAGTACCCTACCAGGCTCCTACTCATCAGTATCCTCACCACCACCTATCTCCTCCTTGAGGTCACTTTTCTGACTTTTAACTCCGTTGGATGGTTTTACTATCTTTGAACTTCATATAGATGCAGTTGTACACTATGTAGTCTGACTCTTTCACATAACATCACATCTGTTAATTTCATCTAGGCAGTTTAAGTATGTGAGTAATTTGTTCTTTTCCATTGCTGTCTAGTGTTCCATCATATGAGTATACCACAGTTTATCCATTTCTGCTATTCATGGCTATTAGGGTATTTTCAGTTTTTGGCTACTGCAAATAAACCTGTTGTGAGCATTCTTGTACACAGCTCTTAGTAGACATAAACACTCATTTCTGTTAGACATATACCCAGAGGTACAATTGCTGTGTCATAGAATATATTAGCTTTGGTAAGTCCTACCAAAAGCTATATATTTTTCTAAATTTATTTTGTATCCTGATAACCTGTGATCTACCAAAAACATTCTCATTTCTGGTAATAGTCTTTAAAAAACATTTGGGAAGGGGATCTTATTAGACAAAGATTTTAATATTGATCTTTACAGTAGTGCTATATAGAAAACTTTGTTGTTTTTCATGTATTAGTTTATTAATACCAGATTTCTACTTTGTACTACTTTGTATATAGATTAGTACAAGATTCTGTGGGAGAAAATAATGAAATATAAGATACAGCCCTGCCTAAAGAAGCTTATAGTTTAGTCAGGTAGGCAAGAGAATGAAAAATAAATGATAATAGTACCATATGCAAGTGATACATAATTTGTATAGACAGTGTGCTCTGGGATGGTGAAGAGCAGTCACTAGACTGGAATGATTGGAAAAGGCTTCATAGGAGAGGGAAACCTTTAGGTGAGCTTTGGTGAGTGGGTGGAACTGAATTGGAATGGGTGGTTCTTCATGAGTAATATTTTACGGAAAGTGAGAAAAACTTATTTTAGGAGTCTAAATTGGCCTGATTACAACGAAAAATTACTGATTAGAGGGTGATGGGAGGATGGTTGGAAAAGTATGTTGTTGTCAGGCTTTTTGGAGACTTTAAATGCCAGGTTAAGGTGTTGTTTGAGGCCCAATGTGTAGATTAAATCCAATTTTATTCTTGCTCTAAAAGCTCTAATTTATTATTATTATTATTTTATGGTCAAAGCATCAGGATTATACAAAGTATTCTGTTTTTCCTATTCCATTCCCCCTCTCAAGAGCATGTACTGGACAAGGATCAAAGTGAAAGAGTTTCATTAAATAACACTCTTCAGAGGAGACCTATAAATGAAGGAGAGATTTTATGAATAGCCTTTAATAAAGATTTTCAGGACATAGTATAGATAATTTTTTGCTAAAGAACTTAATTCATTACCTACTTTAGAAAAAAGAATTTGAGGTGATTTTCTTTAGGGAGTGATAGCAATAAAGCCCTTCTGTAAACTATATGATGTATTGAATTACTTCTGAGAGCCCTTTTTTCCCTAAAGCTTATGGTAAAAGATTCTTTTTGAAGAATCATATTTCAAGAACTTTTTTCCCTTTTTTCACATTAGTATCTTCAGATAGTAAGAAACCTACACCTAATGAAGCTTCTGCTGGAAGTGAAAGAGACTCATCAGATATACCACAAAATTGGTCACTACAAGATTATAGAATGTATTCACCCGTAATATACCAAGCCCTCTGTGAGCATGTGCAGACTCAAATGTCACTGATGAATGACTTGGCTTCAAAGAGCAACCCTAATGGAATTCCTACTGTACCTTGCCACACTGTGTCTGATTCTGGTTAGTATGAATGAGGTTTTAAAAAACATGAATATAAGCTCTAATTAAGTTGACTGGTAGTTGTATAAGCAGTATGAGATGTGAATGACCTTTTCTCCCTGTTACCTTTTAGAATCTCAGGCAACTCCACATTCTAGTTATGGCTTATCCCACTCCACCCCAGTCCTATTATCTCAGCACCCACCCTGCCCTCCAATGGTTCATTGTGTGAGTACAGTTTATATACTATACAAGTAATAATTTGCGTTTATAAATTGTTATCTTAAGAGAAAAACTGAATTTGCTGATTGTATCTTATTGCCCTAGGATGTAAAGACCAATTATTTTTCCAAGTTTTTTTTAATTAGAAAAGTTTTATCTGTTGATTAAGGATAATGGTGAGAGGGAAAAGGGAAAGAGATTAGTAGAAAAAAGAAATCACCCATACCTACTACCAAAGTACAGTTTCTCTTGGTACATTGGCAGGGCATGTTCCAGTCATTTAATTCTCTGTGTAGGTTTCGTTTTCTGGTTTTAATTTATTAAGTTTGTTTTAAAAAAAAAAACTTAGTCATAGTTAAATTGTCTACAGTTTTATATACTCCTTTTTTTTGCTTAACATTTTATTGTAATTTACTTTTTGTACCTTTTTAAATAAGTTGTTAATACTCTGTTTAGTGGATGTACCATAGTCTGTAGTTAGACATTTAAGTAAGTTTTTTACTCCCATAACATGTCTCTAAATATGTTTATGGAAAAGCTTTTTGTATATTTGAGCTTATTTTCTTACATTGTAGTTTCCCAAAGTGGAAGTTTGTTTTAGACCCAAAGTGAACTAAGTTTTGATGCCTTTATGCCATTTATATATAAACAATCTATTTTAGTCATGGCTTTATAATGTTCCCATTGTGCTCAGGGGAAATTCAGCTTACTCACTGGTAGTCTCTAACTCCATCCTGCAGATATCATTTTCCAACATTTTTATTTGAGTTTATTATAGTTAATGCCTACAAGTCAATGCTCATGTTTTTGAAGGCTTAACTTGTTTTTTCTTTCTTTAGGAAGTTCAGACTGACGGTGACAACGAGTTTGCATCACAGGGTAAAACAACTTCTGTGAACTGTACTGATGATGTTCTAAGGAATTCCTTCAGTGCTAGTCTTGGAGTTCCATGTGGCCTGCCCCTAACTGACAAACCAGCTATTCCAAAATTTCAGCAGCTGGATCTTGCTAATGGGATTCAGCCACAACAAAGAGTTCCTAATGAGTCAGACCTACTAAAGTGTTTCCAAACATATATGAATCTGTTGCATTCTCATCCGGACAGTCAGAGACACCGAAGTCCCACTCTATTACAGCCAGCTTTCTTGGCTACCAATGAAGAAAAATGTGCCAAAGAACAAATTGGAGAGGTTAGAGGTGAAGGAAAGGATTTAAACATACATGTGCGAGATTCAAGAAAAAAGGATATGCAGAAGGCAAAAAACGTGAACCAGAGTGCTGAAAGAATCAGAACTATAAAGTATTTGTTGGGAGAGCTCAAGGCTCTGGTAGCAGAGCAAGGTAGATAAGTACTTTATAATTTTTTGTGGCATGTCATTATTTAAAATAATCAACATGGAGTTTGTGATATTTTCCATAGAACTATGTCTTACGCTAATAAGGAAATGAATTTTGTCTGTTTTATTCTTATTTTTTAGGTTTTGATCCCTCTTACTTCCTGTGGATTTGAAATGTACTAGGGAATATCAGTCTTTTACTTGCAAGTGTGTATTCATTCTACTTGAGTGAAAGGGACCTTGAAAAGATTCAGCCAAAGATAATTTGTAAAGATAAACTTTAAGAGGTTAGAGGACCCCTAGACATGATTAACTCCCTAGAATAGAATGATAACTTCCTATTTTAAAAACGTGCAGAAATTTTCCTCTCATCGTTTCTTTAATAACCAACTGTTACAGTGTTTAACAAAACTCACTTTGAGAGGGAATCCAAACCTTTTTATGCCCTTTTCAGTTTACTTTTGGGATTTTTAATGCAATCAAGAAAAATGCTTAGGTGGAGTTATGAGATATTTGAGCCAGGTTGTATTCATTTGTTTTCTTATGGGTGTATGTTTTAAATAATGCCTTTAGCTTGGAGTGAGTTACAGATTTGTCATCCAAAACACACAGTAATTGATTGTGGAAGCACTGATTGAATACCTAATATCTTCAGACTGACAAAGAAATACCATATCTTAAAATTTATCTACAGGATTGTAGCAATATTAATCCAGTGGTTTAATATATTAAAATTTCTTGTGTTTTCAGACTTTCAACTTACTACTATTCTCTTAACCAGATGCTTAATCATGGTAAAAGTAATAATAGTAACAATATTGGCTGTCATGTATTGAGTACTTACCATGTGGCCAGTACTATGCCAACTTAGTTTTATATGCATTATCTTAGTTTTATATGCATTATCTCATTTAATCCTCACAGCAACCCTATGAGGTACTGTTATTGTCCCCATTTTACAGATGAGGAAACTGAGGCTTGGAGAACAGTGTTTCATTTAATCCTCCCAGCAACCCCATGAGGTACTTTTGTTATCTCCATTTAACCACGAAGAAACCTAGGCTTCAAGAGTTAAGTAATTTGACTAAGGCATATTGCTAAGTGGTGAAACCCAGGTCTCTGCCTCTAATGCTTATCAGCGAAACCACTCTACAGAGAACTGGTAGAAGTCTGCTCAATAATTGGGTACAGTTGTTTACTGCAGGCATGTAAACTTTTCATCAGGGTGTTAAAATACTCATGGACTTGAGTAAATTTTTGTAACTTAGAATATACTTTCTACCTCTTTTGGGTATCAGACAGTTAATATTATATTTATTAAATGTTTTCAATTCACAGAAAATTTGAATAGACATGAGGGGACAAAAATAAAAGGACAGAACATCTAAAATCTACCTTCTACCTCTGCCTGTTTGCCACCTCCAAACCCATCTACTCCCCACAATTAGTAATAAAAATGATGCTGCTTTTTAAATACAGGACAGAAATAGACTCACAGACAGAGAATACAGACTTGTGGTTGCCAGGGTGGTGGAGGGTGGGAAGGGATAGACTGGGATTTCAAAATTGTAGAATAGATAAACAGGATTACACCGTATAGCACAGGGAAATATACACAAAATGTTATGATAA